GCTGTGGTGATGATGGGGGTGAGTGGGTGATGTGGAGTGCCATGGTGGAGATGATGGCTGAAGACAGCATCCCTGAGTAGGAAGGGAAGACCACAAGATATGGCAGGCAAGGGCTGGGCTGTCACACTGGGAGGAGGTCAGTAGATCAGTCTAGGTGTTGAGAATGATCCAGGAAATGGAAAAGTCACTGCAAGTGGTGGGGTAAACTAATGGTTGAAACCATAGGCCAACAAATACCTGTATAGGAATAGTGAGCAAGAAGAATGCGAGATCATAGGTGAAAATATTTAGAGCAAGATATGTGATGCCATACCTTCACAAATATCAATCACAGATTAAGACAGTATCTTTGAAAATGACAGAGAGCCACCGTGCTGTCCTTCAGGAATAGAAAATAGAGTGAAAATGATAAGTAAATCGGCAAATATGTTCTTACATACTGATAGAGAAGGCATGTTGAAAATTATTAACCCCAAGGTTGAGACACCTCCCACCCTCCTCAAATTAACTCTTAGAAATAGTCAGGTTTGTGGTTTAGTGAATGCACCAAAGCAACTGTCTTGGGCTCAACCAGAAAAGTTTTATATTAAGAGTAAATTACACTGCTGTAAGTTTTCAAGGTAGAGTATTTCCTAACTCTGAAAAAAAGACAAGAAAACCCATGTCATGGAGCCAAATATCAAGAGATTACAAAAAGGTTAAATTAAAGAAGGTTAATATTTTCAAGGTCAGGCATGAAAAGGAAGACTAAATTATACTTAAAAAAACAAGGAAAGCCATTCTTTATTCAGTTCTCCTGAGACCAATTCATGTACTAACAAAAATATGCGGTTAAATAGATGGGTAACGCAGTTTAACAGGTGGGTGATGATGATGTGCTGGAATGATAGTTAACTTTGTAACATCACAAGAGAATATCAGAAGTTGACAAACCTCAGTGTTGGGATAGGAATGAATACTTTATATTAAAAACGACTTGCAACCCTGATGAAATAAAACTGCACGATGGAAACACCAACTGAGTATATAGTAACTAATTTCAATATCATAGCAAAACACTGTATAATGTATTTGTGTGTACAGTTTGTATATGCATGTAGGTGTTATGTATGTAGGTGTATGTTTGCTTCCTTGCTTGCTTGTGAAGTTAACTGTGCAAGAATAAAATGCTATTTTTAAAAAGATATAATTCCTAAATTTGCCCAAAACAATACAAATTATGCATTTAGCCATTGTAGTTACTCTCCATGATGCCTGAGACTGGGGACCCCCCTCCCCCCTATGACAAGTGTATCTCTGCTACTCGGCAAATGCGATGATTGGCAACAATGTGATTTTGTACTATATTCTGTAGTGAGTGAAGTATTATTTTCCCAAATTCAATGTTTTAACAATATGAGCAATCGCTATGTAAATAATATATCCGACGTGTTTTAATTTGTATTGAGTTGAACAACACTAGACTGTGGCTTGCTAAAGTAACTGTTGGCAGACTTCGTCACGAGAGGCTGGTATTGGAAAGTGAGACTCAAATGAGAAAGGTAATGCAACAGTGCAGTGAAAGGAAATGTAGTACAAGAGAAGAGACTGTGATTAGAAAAGAAAATTGACTACCAATCCATTTCCACAGAAATAAAGCTGGAAGAGAAAAATTTAGAATGCACTAATGTACAGAAATAATCATGTCCAAAAGATAGAAGAAAATTTAGTACTAATCCACTTCTACATATACAATTATGGGTGAGATAAAGATTATGTCATACTAATCTATTTCTATGGAAATGCATCACAGATATGCAATGAGATATTTAAAAACGCATTTTATGGTAGTGTCAAGCCTGTCTCCACGAGCACAAGGTATGTATGTGGATGTAACTAGAGACACTGAATGGCTTCTTCACAACCATATAGAAAGTAGAATTTACTTGACAAGGAATAATTACTTTTAAAATATATATAGTATAATTTGAGAGGGAGTGAGTATTGAATCATTAATTCTTACTGTTAATAGAGATTTTTAATACGACATAAAATCCATTTAACTATCCTAACTCATTTACACTCGGGTCAATATCCTCCATGGCACAATATGCATATACGGTATCCATAAACTATATGAAAAATAAAAAGCACTAAGGAAACCAAAATAAATTTCCACGTTATGCTTCTGACTTCATGTCAAATACATCAACACATCAAAGATGACTCATGTGTGACCTATGGAGTACCAAATGAACAGAATACAAAAATATAGCAGATTAGATTGATCATTTTGTGGCCTTCACTTCACATTTCTCTAGTCTATGGCTGAGCATATACATCATCAGTACTATAAACAGGAAGTCTCAATTGCCCTTATAACAAACGCAGCACCATTACCTCCCCTCCCCCAAGTCCTCATGAATGTGGCACGATCTGATGAGCACTGGCAGTATAAGATTGGCACAGTACAAACATGACAATGTACAGTCTGAACTTATTGTAACACATGGGTGGCACCATACAATACAAAATTTATACAACACGTAGGTGGCACTGTACAGTACAAACTTGGTATGTACAATATATAGGCAATGTCCAATAAAAACTTAGTACAACTCACATGTGGCACTGGACAGAAGCACCTGGTACAACACAAGAGTGGCATTTTGCAGTGCAAAGTCGCCACAGCTAATGGATGGCACTGTACTGTACAAACGTGAACACTGGAATGGATCTCCTTTTGAGCCTCCAAATGTAAACATAACTTGCATTAAAGTTCTTTCCATATCACACAGAAACATACCGACTCTACCAAGTCTGTATATAATGGATTTCTTAATATGTAATTTGCCGCTCAACTTTAAGAAGTCAACTTGAAGAGCCACATCTAAGCTATGAATTATTTTGGACCTCAAGTATCACCATATTCTTACCAAACCTTCATTAACTTTTTCTTCAGCCTTCGAACAGCAGCAAACATTTTCATGTGGAAATTGTGCAAGCGTATTCATATTTTGTAGATTCATTTTCTCTTAAATAGCATCCTTTCTTAAGCTTTTATCTGTATCTCTGTTTGTTTGCCATAATTTGGCAGTTTAGCCTCTTTAGCATATATGTTAGGTGATGGTAAGGAGAGAGAGTTGCAGAGAGAGTCTTTATTTTGAGTGACTTCATCAACCCGTGATTTGATTAAGTTCAAACAGAGCGAAATGTCAGCAGAATAAAGATTTGATCTGCAACTGTGTCACTTTACCATACAGCTGGCACCACTTGCCAGTCAAAGCAACAGCAGGTGATGTGGCAAGCAGGTGATGTTGCAAGCAGGTAATGTTGCAAGCAGATGATGTTGCAAGCAGGTGACATGGCAAGCAAGTGATCCACTATCATGACTCTTGCTCAAAAGGCCTTAATTCATAACAACATACATTCCATTTTACAGGTTGATAATTTCCAATTCAATATTTTTTTTGAGGGGGGTCTAATCATCCAATTTATCAATACCACATAACTAAGGTCTTTGAGAAGCACATATCAGAATATGTGTGAAGATGTCCAAAATAATTTACATCTGACCTTCAAATAACATATAGCAAAATAATGCATTATTTGTGGTATAAACATAGCTACAGAATTTTCTAAAAGTTTGCATGGTCTCGCATACTTTCTATGGTAATATTAAACTGATATTCATAGCAAATAGCTGAAAGACTAACTCTTATATTTCCACACTCAAAGGGGCACTAATATTATCACCAGATACAGTGGTCTCTTGAGTTATGATGGGTTTGAGTTTCAATAATTTTGAACTATTATTTACTCTCATAAAGGAGTTTAGTTTTCAATTGTAATGAAAAAATGAGATACGATATGCATGCGATGGTTGGGTCTCAGCTTGCCTCTTGGGCAGCATCTAAGCCAATAGAAGTGTCAGTGGAGGTGGCTTAGCAGCCAATCACTGATGGGAATGAATTGTCTCTATGGTAGTATTTTAGCCAATAGCAATGTTTTTACTACAGTTTATCATTTTTCTCATTAGTTTGAAGCCTCCCAATGTATTGCCTTCACTCTTTACTCTTCATAACTACAGCTGTGATTTAATTACACCCTCTTCTATGTTGCTAAGTCATCATGGCACCTAAACTGTGCAGTAAACAGGCAATTTCTCTAAAGATCAAGGAAGAAATTGTGAAAAAATATATAATAATAAGAGTTAGAATTTGTGCATTGGTGTGTGAATATGGCTTTACATAATCAACCTTCTCTGTTACTGTCAAGCAAAAAGAAATTACAAAGAATATTAAAGTGGCTGAGAAAATTCAGGTGTTGTTCATTCATCAGGAAGGTGTGAAAAGAACCATAAGAAAGCACCCAGACACTGAAAAAACTGAATTCACTTCGTGTGTTACTGAAGATAATGTTTTATCTTATCTTGAACAGCCTCAGAAGAAAGCGACAGAACAAGAAACTCTGGGCAGTTTCTCTCCCCCACCACTACCACACCACCAATGCATCAAGTCCAAAGCTACAGTCAAAGTTGCACTTCTGGGGTCTTGGAATGAATTACCATAAAATCACGCATTTTGAGGTTTGAGCAACATAGTTTCTGAGATCACTAATAGCTTCTGGAACGGACTGAACATCGTAACTGAAGGGACCAGTATTATCTTACTAATTTATTGCTCCTGAAATATACAATGCTTCAATTTATATTAGGTGGAATTGCTAATCTGCAAGATATAATAATTCATAAAATCTATTTTTGAGTTAAAACAAAATTAATTATAAAGATGTACAATATCTTGCGAAATCTACACTATAGGACAAAATTATTCTGTACTGGAATGCGACCTAAATAGTTACTATCAGCGGGTCTTTGGCTTGTAGTTGGTATTGATCAGCAGAGCAAAACCGGTTGATCAGTAATCTTTTCCACAGGAGGCCAGGTACAGTAACGGAGCTGGGAATTACCTCGAAATCTTCTCAGTAAATCCAGGAAAATTAACAATATTTAACAATTATGCATACAGTATTACTTGCAAATATTATAACAATAATACTAGTAAATATTATAAAAATATTACTAACACATATTGTGACAATATTACTAGCACATATTATGACAATACAAGTATTAACTGTAATTAAATAGCTAGACGATTTAAGTGAAGTACAGCTTAACAGACTGTAAATATTGTACTATAATAAGTTCCTTATCATTACTGGCATTTTCAGTACATATATTTAATTTTAGTGAAGTGCTTTGCAATTATTAGATAATAATTATGTGTAATTATCTTCTTGTGTAAACACATTATTTAGCATATGGAATGTGTTGGAATCTTCGTGTGCCTAAGCCAGAGGTCACATAGTTCATCATCATGTTTGCCATCAATCCTTCATAATTGTGTAATATGAACATCTCAAAGCTATGACAGAGTATCTTAGAGCTGTCAGACTTTCAGCAGACTTCTGTCTCATCCTCAGATGACGAGTGTCTAGGTATGACTTTGCTAGTAAGACGATCAGGCAGTAAGATGTCTGACTCCTCATCTGACAGCTCATACCATGGCTTCTCTTCTTTCTTGGAACTCCCAGAGTCTCCCTAATAAAATAAAATAAATTAACAATTATTATTATGTGAAAAATATATAATTCTCAGTGCACATCAAGATTACTTTATTATAAAATTTTTAATGATGAATCTCTATATATACTAATAGATATCTTAACCAACTACAGATTTTTCGTATTAGTATAATATCTATTAATATTTTTGCTAATTCAAACTCGGATTTGAAATTTGATGTTTTGGTTCAAGCTTTGACGAGTCATATCTTTTTACTACTTTTCTTTGGCATTCTTCGTATATTTCCCTATATATTATTTACCTTTGTATTAGTGTACTTGATACTGTGTTCTACTAGTGAAATAGAGCATGTTGTCAGAACTGACATATTTAACTTGAGCCTCCACTATAAATTCTGTCAGAGACTGACATATGAGACTTGAGCCTCCACTACAACATGTTGTCCAGTAAGAATGACATATGAGACTTAGCCCCACTAAAACATGTCTTGTCAGAGACTAAACTTGAGATTGAGCCTCACTACTATGTCTGTCCAGAGACTGACTTAGAGACTTGAGCTTTTCCATACTAACATGTCTTTAGAGACTGAGCGATATAGTCTCACTACTAACATTCTGTCAGAATCATGACATATGATACTTGAGCCTCCTACTACATGTCGTTGAGATGACAGACGGATCGAGCCTCCACTATTTACTGTCTGTCCAGAGACTGACATATGAGACTCGAGCCTCCACTACTTACATGTCTGTCTAGAGACTGACAGACGAGACTCGAGCCTCCACTACTTACATGTCTGTCTAGAGACTGACAGACGAGACTCAAGCCTCCACTACTCCATGCACTGAATGACCCGCACAGGGTTAGTACATTACATATATGTAGTACATAATTAAAGAAACAATTCTGGAGATTCTCCATCATTGAAAAATGTTCACATAAGTTGCATATCATCAAAAAATTATTATGGAAAAATACCTAAACTTGGTTCACTCTAAAGTACCTCCTAACCACCTTAACCAACAGAGAACATTTAATAGTCCCTTCACTATCATGTGCATGTGACTTTTCATTATATAACCAACATATTCTTCTGCAAATAGTTTATTACTACTGTAACATGCTACCCAAAGCTCCCTTTAAGTAAGGTATATTAGCACTGAAGCTTTGAGGTCAATCAGCTGAAATATTCATAATTTATCCCAAGAAAATCAGTATTTCAATTTACCAAATTTCATTCACTAAAATCTACAAACTGGCACCTATACAGCGCAAGATGAACCAAAAAAGTTTGATGATTACCTACAGAATGTATCAGCTGTTAAAGATTGATGCCATTCAGAAGAGCCATACTCAAATTATTTAAGAGAAAAGCACACTATTTTCAAAATGAAAGTGGAACACTCCAACAAGAATCTTCATGCAGGTAGGATACACCAGTGCTGCAAGTTCACCAGTATACCTGAGGATACACCAGTGCTGCAAGGTTCACCAGTATACCTGAGGATACACCAGTGCTGCAAGGTTCACCAGTATACCTGAGGATACACCAGTGCTGCAAATTCACCAGTATACCTGAGGATACACAAGTGCTGCAAGGATTCACCAGTATACCTGAGGATACACCAGTGCTGCAAGATTCACCAGTATACCTGAGGATACACCAGTGCTGCAAGGTTCACCAGTATACCTGAGGATACACCAGTGCTGCAAGGTTCACCAGTATACCTGAGGATACACCAGTGCTGCAAGATTCACCAATATACCTGAGGATACACAAGTGCTGCAAGGTTCACCAGTATACCTGAGGATACACCAGTGCTGCAAGGTTCACCAGTATACCTGAGGATACACCAGTGCTGCAAGATTCACCAGTATACCTGAGGATACACCAGTGCTGCAAGATTCACCAGTATACCTGAGGATACACCAGTGCTGCAAGATTCACCAGTATACCTGAGGATACACCAGTGCTGCAAGGTTCACCAGTATACCTGAGGATACACCAGTGCTGCAAGATTCACCAGTATACCTGAGGATACACCAGTGCTGCAAGATTCACCAGTATACCTGAGGATACACCAGTGCTGCAAGGTTCACCAGTATACCTGAGGATACACAGTGCTGCAAGGTTCACCAGTATACCTGAGGATACACCAGTGCTGCAAGGTTCACCAGTATACCTGAGGATACACCAGTGCTGCAAGATTCACCAGTATACCTGAGGATACACCAGTGCTGCAAGGATTCACCAGTATACCTGAGGATACACCAGTGCTGCAAGGTTCACCAGTATACCTGAGGATACACCAGTGCTGCAAGTTCACCAGTGTACCTGAGGATACACCAGTGCTGCAAGATTCACCAGTATACCTGAGGATACACCAGTGCTGCAAGATTCACCAGTATACCTGAGGATCACCAGTGCTGCAAGATTCACCAAGTATACCTGAGGATACACCAGTGCTGGAAGGTTCACCAGTATACCTGAGGATACACAGTGTGCAAGATTCACCAGTATACCTGAGGATACACCAGTGTTGCAAGATTCACCAGTATACCTGAGGATACACCAGTGCTGCAAGATTCACCAGTATACCTGAGGATACACCAGTGTTGCAAGATTCACCAGTATACCTGAGGATACACCAGGCTGCAAGATTCACCAGTATACCTGAGATACACCAGTGTGGCAAGATTCACCAGTATACCTGAGGATACACCAGTGCTGGAAGATTCACCAGTATACCTGAGGATACACCAGGCTGAAGATTCACCAGTATACCTGAGGATACACCAGTGCTGCAAGGTTCACCAGTATACCTGAGGATACACAAGTGCTGCAAGATTCACCAGTATACCTGAGGATACACCAGTGCTGCAAGATTCACCAGTATACCTGAGGATACACCAGTGTTGGAAGATTCACCAGTATACCTGAGGATACACAAGTGCTGCAAGATTCACCAGTATACCTGAGGATACACCAGTGCTGCAAGATTCAACAGTATACCTGAGGATACACCAGTGCTGCAAGTTCACCAGTATACCTGAGGATACACCAGTGATGGAAGATTCACCAGTATACCTGAGGATACACCAGTGATGCAAGATTCACCAGTATACCTGAGGATACACCAGTGATGGAAGATTCACCAGTATAGCTGAGGATACACCAGTGCTGCAAGATTCACCAGTATACCTGCAGAGGGTTAACCAGTGATGGAAATTCACCAGGTAACCTGAGGATCTACAGTGCGTGAAGATCACCAGTTACTGATACACCAGTGTATGCTGGCTGATTCACCAGTATACTGAGGATACAACCCAGTGCTGCAAGCTGGTCACCAGTATACTTAAGTGCATACATCCCTGCTGAAGATTCACCAGTATACTTGGTATCACCCTAGTGTTGCTAGATTCACGACCTGAGGATACACAGTGCTGCAATTCGCAGTTTCCTAGGTTACACCAGTTGTCCATGATTCCACCAGTATAGTACCTGGGTACCAACTGTGCAGATTCACCATTACTGAGGAACACAGTGTTGCAAGATCGACCAGTATACTGAGATACACAGTGTTGAAATTCACAGATCTGGGTTACACCATGTGATAATCCCATCTGGGTTAACACATGCTGACAAGATTCACCTTATCTTGATGAGCGGTATTAGATATTACGTTTTACCACGCAGGGTCTGAAGGGTGTCAGGGTTGATCAACTAGTGTTACTGTGCATTGCACGCAATTACTGCTAAGACCAGTCGTGGTCAGTATGATCATTTAAGTGCCTGTCCGTGCCTGCGAGACATTCCAGATCTATTGTATCCCCTTATGTATGCGGAAGCTGTGAAGCTTCAAGCTCATGGGCAGTTTCTAACCTGTTTTCCCTATTCCCACATAAGTAGGTTACTGTGTATCAAACTGGTGGAATCGCATCTGGGGACAGATTGAAGGATCACATGAAATAGAGAATGATCCTTGATAAGCATGACTACTGGGTTACCCTGTGATAACCCTCTGGTTAAAATCTGACAAAATCTTATCTTATCTTTGATGTACTAATTAACCATATATATTTTTACCACAACAGTCTTCCACCAAGGTTGGGTGATCTAATCTTAGTGGGTTATTCATTCAATAATTATCTTGCTAGATCATGTGTGTAGATATTCCAATTCATATGACCCTCTGCACTGCAACATTCCCATTTCCCCTTCAGAGTGCAAGCGCTGTACTTCCTACCTCCAGGACTGAGACAGGCTAACCAGTTTTCCTGACTCCCTACATAAATGTTACTCTGCTCAAACTACAGCACATCGTGCTTGTATACATGTATAATAAAATGATCAATGCACAAGGACCATGCTCACCCTAGCTGAGGAACTCGTGTTGGGCTGGTCTGGTTTCTTAGTCTTCTGCTCACAAGAAATGTCAATGATGGCTGCTGTCTTGACATTAAGTTGCTTCTTTAGTGGTAATAATGTCAGCGAATAATCTGACGAAGAAGATGCTGACCCTTCCTTACTGCTAACACTTGTGCTGCCTCCCACGCTACCTTTCCCAACACTAAGCTGTCGTGCTGATTCACTCTTGCTGACATCTGAGGCATGGGAAGGAGGCGAGAGTGCTGACTCTGTCTTACTTATTTCACTAGGTGCGGGGGACATACGGCCAGCAGTGCTGGAGTCTGGGGTAGGCAGAAGGTCCTGAGTTAGGGAAAATCCCTTTTGTAGGGGATAGTCACTTTTGAAGGGAGGAAAGGAGGAAGAGGAAGATTCAGGACGAGATACAGAATCCGACTTTGAAGCACTGGAAGCAGGTCGTGCCACAATACCCGAGTCCTCAGAGGCAGCCACACTGCGAGCCTCATTTCCAGGCTTCAACACCGCTTCTTCAGGCACAGGTGGTAGATTTTCCTCCATCGACTGAAACTCAGGTTCAGGAGGAGCTGGTGGTGCAGAGGAGGGTGGTGTGGGGGGTGAGGTATCTTCTGGCAGTAGTTTCCGGCGAGCAGGCAGTGGTGGTGGGCTAGACGGGCAAGATCCACTAACACCAAGGTTACTGGAAATACTACCATTGCCATTGTCAACATGCTTTTCAGATGAAGATGCACCACTGCGAGTCCTATGCCGTGCTGCTTCTGCTTCAGGTAAGTCAAAGGGTCGAGTAGTGACTGTAGAGGAAGAAGTTGTAGTAGTAGTTGAGGTGGTGGGCTTGCCGATAGAAGACTCCTCAGAGGAGTTGCTGTACTCTTGACTAGATGAAGTGTTAGATTCGGTGGTGGTGTGGGCATCAGTGTCACCCAGGGACAAAGTAGATTCTCTTACATTACCGTATGTCTCCTGGAAGTCCCGCGCACTAAGCTCAGGCACTTTTCGCATTGTTTTTACCTTGCGTTTAGAAGGCCATCTTGGTTTAATAGAGAATTTATGGAGGAACCCTTTACGTTTGTACACAGATGTCACCCCTCCAGGTGTGCCCTTGATGGTGTTCTCTATGCCCTCCCCATCGCCTAGGTGCCGCTGTCCACAAATATCAGAGACATCCGCGGCAGCGGCGCCCGGGGATGTCTCATTCGTTAAAAAGTGCTTATGGTCAGTATTGTCTGCATGATGCAGCCGAAGATGGTGTGGATGATCAGCACTATGCAAAAGATCTATTTGTTTCATACATGTCGAATCTGCACCACTTTCACTGGATGTGGTAGTTGCCTCACCTCCACGTCCTGAACACTCTCCTTCATCATGGCGGGCCTGAGGGCCACGTTTTTGGCGCCGATCATGGGGCAGACGGAGTGCCTGAGCTTCTCCACTACTGCTCTCCTCACTGGCCCGCGGGGGCGCCGCTCCCCGGGGCCCTACCTGGGGGTCCAGTGGCCCAGGATCATCTTCAGGTGGGGCATCACTCTCATCACTAGAAGGTTCAATTACTTCCAGTACAGAACAAGAACCACTTTCCGATGTTAATGCTAACTCCCGCAGTCTAGCACTGACTTCCTCTTTACCTAGTCTCTCCCCACTGGGTGAACTTCCAGCATATTGCTCACTAATTAATCCTAAACCAGGGCTCAAACTGGCATCAGCCCAATATGGTCTTCCAGAGTTTTCCTTTGATTTAGAAACTTGATTTCTTGACCTAGAGAATATCGGAGACTGCTTGTGATTAATAGTTGGCTCAGAAGGATCATCTGCTATGTTGGCTTCACTTCGGCTCAGATAATTTATCTCCTGAATCTGCTCGCTACGTCGAACACGAGGTGATAAAGCTTCTAGTCTAGCTGGAAGCGTTTCAGATCGAACATCAATACCACCACTTGCAGGTGTCCGTATTGGGGTAGATGTAAGAGTAGTAGCTCTTGTGGGTGTAGAATGAGCTGGCGAAGAAGTTGCAGCATAGTCTTCAACTCCCTCGTACACATCTTCCTCTTCACTAAACGGAAAGAGTGAGATGAGAGATTCCTCGGAAGAACAGAGAGATGGCAGATCACCCAGGCGGCAGTCTCCTCCCTGCGCCCGCACTGAACACAGCTTTGCCCTGCATCGTTAAACAATGTCAGACACTTATGAAATATTACAACATACAACATTCTGGCATATTTCAAATAACCAACACAAATGACATTTACACCAGTATTTCAAAGTTGAACCCTGCATTCTGATTCTATCACTCCCCACTTGTCCTTATAACATTTCTTCAATATAAAAATTTCAAAACAGATATGAGAGTGCTCAAACACGTAAGTAGGTTCAAAGTTAAGAGACAGACCTTAACTCTAATAGTTAATTGCAATTAGGCATTTACAGCTTTTAGATATTTCCTAAGTAGTGATGACAGGCGAGCAGCTGCTAGAATGATACCAAGCAAGTAGCTGCTAGAGTGATAACAAGCATGTAGCTACTACAGTGATAACAAACAAGCGGTTACTAGAATGATAACAAGCAAGTAGCTACTAGCGTGATAACTGCATGCAGCTGCTAGAATAATAACAAACAAGCAGCTACCAGAGTGGTAACAAGCAAGCAACTACCAGAGTGTTATCAAGCATACAGCTGCTAGAATGATAACAAGAAAGTAGCTACTTGTCTGAGCTAGAAGATTCAACTAGCAACCTCTGCCTTAATACATTTTATTTAACTGAATTGTTTGTCTACATAATCATCAATAAATTTTTCGCAAACAATCTTACAACACTTAAAAGTTCCTCTGCATGACAGGAACAAAAACATGATCTCAAACTTATGTAATTGCCTTAATAAATTAAGAGAACAAATTCATGCAAGATTAGCTACTTATATTGTAATGTTAAAACATTAAATAACTGAGCAGTTATCAAAGCTATGGCCATTTGTGTTTTGAAATTAGCAATGAACTTAATAATAATGGCAAGAGCAGACACTGCTATTAAAGAATGACTATAAATATACACATAAGATATTTTTATGCTGTATAACAACTTTTTAGAAAACAATTTTGTTCTGATTTTTAAAAATACAATTAAAATTGCATTAGCAACATAATCACATTTGAAATAAAGTGAAATCAGACTCAAGAAAAATATTTATATACAAATATTATTGAGCTTAATTATAATTCTTTACATTTTCAACACAAAATCTTTTATAAAGAATCACACAGGATATGTACATTGAGGGATGTGTATCTCTCTGTATATATATCCTGAACATTTACTCTAAACTTTCTTTTAGGGATTAAGGTATTCTTGTCTGGTGGTGAAAAGGTTATGTGTAGCCTTAATGGCATTTGAACAGTCAACAGGCTTCAAACTCCATTAACAGATCATTAACTAAAAAATACCACACTAACATGAACACCCAACTACATATGCCTCTCAATGTATATACACTGAGAGTTACTTTATTCCCCTTTTTTACAGGATTAAAGTATTCCTGTAATGTAGTAAACAAGTTAGGTGCAACTTAAGTCGCTTACAATTGGGTGATAGACTTTAAATCCCACTAACGAACCACCAAAAAAAAAAAAATGACATTCACCTGAAGACATCTAGTGGATGATGAGCAGTGGCAACAGTTCGATGACTGCGATGTCTGAGCTTCTTCCAGGATTCCTCTACTAGAAGCATCCGATGCTCCATGTCTACAAGGGAGGATCCAAACCATGTCTTCTGTGCTCCCTGCCACCGCTCATGCAACCCATTTACATACTCTATAACTGACTCCACTTGTTCCCTGGGATAAGCATAGAACCTTAATATTCCTAAGTTGTGTGGAAGAGCACAGAATATACAGGAAAGTTTAGGAAAATATATACATCTAGGAGAATATATGATACAGCACATATGGAAAGGTAGGAAAGAAATTCAAAGAAATACTTTTAATAAAATTAAAAGAGATGACAAAGGCTTTGGGCTGGCAATAAACACAAGAAGAAATTTATTAACATGAGTTAAAACAAAAATGTTAAGAGGCAAAGATGGTCAAGAATGATTCTCGCTGCCTCAGGAAAATTACATTGCAAGGACGTACGATGCCTCCAACTCACCGTGCATGAGTCGACTGCCTGACCCCATTGACACGATCCCTGAGAGAATTGTTTTCTTCAGCCAGAACTTGTAGTGCCATAATGATGTTATCATGTGCCTCTACCATGTGGTCATGGAGTCGAGACAGCTCCCGCACCACCTCCTCCCTCTCTTTAACCAGCCGTCGTGCTACGCTCAAAACCTCTCTGTAAGTTACCACATCTTAATTTTATAATAATGGCTACAGTAAGAGATTTTAATCAATCATATGGTTTTCAGCAGCGGTCTGAGTAAATAATGCCAAGTGTAAATTCCCTAAAAACATTTCTTAGTATTTTCAGTTTTTATTTAACACATCGGCTGTTTCCCACGGAGTCAGGGTGACCCGAAAAAGAAGAAACACTTTCATCGTCATTCATATATGACTGTCTTGCCAGAGGCGTGTTGATACTACAGTTCAAAAACTGCAACACATCTTCAGTACTTTCAATACAGTATAATACATACACTGTACAGTAATTAGAAAGCTAATAACTTACAGCATACATGTATACGTACTGTAATTCTCTTTGTGAGATTTCTTCTTAAAAATATTTACTTTTAAATCCTTGTTACAGATACCATTATGGAATTCTCAAAATTGGATTATAATATGAGAGGAAATTTTTTTTTTAACACATCGCCCGTCTCCCACCGAGGCAGGGTGACCCAAAAAAGAAGAAATAATTTTTTTTTTCTCTTTACATTTAGCAATTTATACAAGAGAAGAGGTTACTAACCCATTGCTCCCGGCATTTTTAGTTGTCTCTTACAACGTGCATGACTTACGGAGGAAGACTCAACTCACAAAATCGTAAGGACACAATTGCAAACAAACCATACCAGACCAACGCGTTAGCTACTGAGCCAGCTGGCGACAATAAGATTCATCCAACTAGGTAATTTATACACCATAGGAAGGTTAGCACAGGCACCACTGTGACCACAAATGCAAGTTTTTTTTACAGACGGATCTCCCGCCAGCGTGGCCGTGACGAACTCTAGCTCAAGTACGGAGGAAGGATTCTTCTCCGCTTCCCCACAGAGAAGAGGAAATATAACCTACTGTAATATTACTGCCTGGGGAAGCCTTAACTTTGCAATAACTACACAGCAAGAATTATCATCAGCCTTACTTGAAATTAACTCTGAGATCATGGTTGTCCGCCATCGCTGCCTCCAGCTCAGCTTCCCTCCGCGTGAGGTCAGTGGCCAGGGCCAGGCCAGATTCATGAACACACAGGTACTCAGCACAGGCCAAGTGGCCACGCACCACACACACTTCCCAAGCCTTTTGACCCATATCGTTCTGCAAGCATATGCAGTAATACCATTACAGTTTGGCTCTACGTAAAGTCTGCCCATAACACTACATTTACAAAGGAACCTTTAGTAAATATTCACAAACAAATTGTTAACCCAACACTATAATATTTATGCATAGTTTGTAAACATTATTATTATTATTATTATTATTATTATTATTACAGCCTCTCCTCACTAAGTGATGCCTCGGACTTACAATGGGCTCTGTGACCAGTATTAATACCTAAATAATGTATATTAGAGCTGATTTCCTCTATTCTGTTTATTTCAATATACAATACACTACTGTATAAACATTTAAAAATAAACCAGAAATGTTATAATGGTGCAAAGGTGACATTAAAACAATATCAAAGATGGTTGACACAACTCACTACCATTATAGTATGTTCTTCACTTAGCAATGAATTCGTTTAACGATGTGGTCTCAGGAATGGAACTCCGTCCTTAAGTAAGGAGAGGCTGTATTATTATTATTATTTTTTTTTTCAACAAGTCGGTCGTCTCCCACCGAGGCAGGGTGACCCAAAAAAGAAAGAAAATCCCCAAAAAGAAAATACTTTCATCATCATTCAACACTTTCACCACACTCACACATTATCACTGCTTTTGCAGAGGTGCTCAGAATACAACAGTTTAGAAGCATATACGTATAAAGATACACAACATATCCCTCCAAACTGCCAATATCCCAAACCCCTCCTTTAAAGTGCAGGCATTGTACTTCCCATTTCCAGGACTCAAGTCCGACTATATGAAAATAACCGGTTTCCCTGAATCCCTTCACTAAATATTACCCTGCTCACACTCCAACAGATCGTCAAGTCCCAAGTATCATTCGTCTCCATTCACTCCTATCTAACACGCTCATGCACGCTTGCTGGAAGTCCAAACATAATCTATGTTAATTATACCTACCCTGTAACGTTATTTTATCATCAAGAATGTAACAAACACAAGTGACTGATGATAATAATTATTTTAATAATACTTTAAAGCCATTCTGAATATAAAAGGACAGATAATACTTAGAACGCAAGTCATATACTACTGTAGTTACTTAGAACGTGAGTCACTTACTAGTTACTTAGAACATGAGTCACATACTAGTTACTTAGAACATGAGTCACTTACTAGTTACTTAGAACATGAGTCACTTACTAGTTACTTAGAACATGAGTCACTTACTAGTTACTTAGAACATGAGTCACATACTAGTTACTTAGAACATGAGTCACATACTAGTTACTTAGAACAAGAGTCACATACTAGTTACTTAGAACATGAGTCACATACTAGTTACTTAGAACATGAGTCACATGCTAGTTACTTAGAACATGAGTCATATACTACTTAGAACATAGGTCATATGCTAGTTGCTTAGAACATGAGCCATATACTAATTACTTAGAACATGAGCCATATACTAGTTACTTAGAACATGGGTCATATACTAGTTACTTAGAACATGGGTCATATACTAGTTACTTAGAACATGGGTCATATACTAGTTACTTAGAACATGGGTCATATACTAGTTACTTAGAACATGGGTCATATACTAGTTACTTAGAACATGGGTCATATACTAGTTACTTAGAACATGAGCCATATACTAGTTACTTAGAACATGAGTCACATACTACTTAGAACATGGGTCATATGCTAGTTACTCAGAACATGAGTCAAATATTTACTGAAGTTACTTAGAACATGAGTCACATACTAAATTAAATTATGAATCTTATTTTAAGATGTTATGATAAGAAAGTAAGAGGCTGGTGCTGGTAATCTGTTTATTGTCAGGGAACAACAAATGTGTAATTTCCCACTCAGTAATAATGTGCTTTATCTTAGAGATTATGATCAATAAGCTTCCTCTAACACTGGAAACAACCAAGTGTCGAATTTGCACTTACAAATATTAGAGAACTCAGCACCATTTATAACTTATATTTGAATAGTTGCAAATGCTATCATGACTGTCATAAATGCAAAACATATGCCCTTTCATGTAATTTTATTTTTCACAAGAATTTAATAATAATAATATAATGATTTTATGCTCTAAACATGAGTAAAATTTTTCATGCCATGACAAAATTTCATTGGCAATTGACAGGATCTTAGGTTATCAATTGTCATTGATATCCAAAGCCTCTCATTTCCGAAAGCCAGTCAACACATAAGAGATAGCAGATTAATAAAAATAAGTTAACAAAAACTGAACTCCTTTTACAGTGATTAATATTTAAACCAGTAGAGGTATGAGCTTACTTTTAGTGTAACATCAGCACCGTGTTGCAGGAGGATGGAGCAGACCCGAGAGTTGCCAGTGCGAGCAGCGAGGTGGAGAGCTGTGTTGCCATTGTGATCTTTGTTGTCCAGCGGTACTTCATGTGCCATCATGTATTCCACCAGCCATCCTACTACCTGTGTCACATTGGAAAAGGTGACATCAAATTTTCATTACATGACCTAATAAATTTCCAAACACTGAGTTTAATGGGCTTTGTGTAATGGATTTACTGTAGGTTCTCTATGACTCCCAATTGACTACTGTATGTTCTATTGGTCTAAAATGTTGGACTATTGTATGTTTTTTGTGACTACAATGTTTGACTACTGTATGTTCTTTGTGTCTAAAATGTTGGACTATTGTATGTTTTTTGTGACTACAATGTTTGACTATTGTATGTTCTTTGTGTGCCTAAAATGTTGGACTATTGTATGTTTTTTGTGACTACAATGTTTGACTATTGTATGTTCTTTGTGCCTAAAATGTTGGACTATTGTATGTTTTTTGTGACTACAATGTTTGACTATTGTATGTTCTCTGTGTCTACAATGTTAGGCTATTGTATGTTCTTTGTGCCTACAATGTTTGGCTATTGTATGTTCTCTGTGCCTACAATGTTTGGCTATTGTATGTTCTTTGTGCCTACAATATTTGACTATTGTATGTTCTTTGCGACTACAATGTTTGACTACTGTATGTTCTTTGTACAATGTTTAACTACTGTATGATCTTTGTTACTACAGTGCTTTTACAAGTTCCAACATTTATTTTTCACATGAGTATTTACAGTTTGTATTTGTATTGGTGTTAAGTGCTGTACAATGCACAAGTCTCTTATACCTACACACTTATCTGCAATCCATATATTTTAATGCTATTTTTGACTAACCCAAAGTCCTTACGATAAACAACAAGCCTATATCATCTACTGCAAACTATTTAAAATGAATTTAAAATGTATAGTAATGATGACTGTAATTCCCACTAGGCTACCATACAAGACAGCCTGGTGGTGTCATGGTTCTCTTAAACAGCTGTACTAGGACAACAGTTTAACACTAACAAACATTTATACATAATGCAAGTGTAATTTTTAGTATTATATTCAACAGCATGTTGAAATTATGACTTCAATGCTTTACAGTATCGAAAAAGTAGTACAATTAACATTCTTATTTTATGGCTGAAATATTGTATAAATACAATGTTTCACTGTATCATGTAGAAATTTGGAAAAAGGCGCAAGTTTTAGCTTTATAAACACTTTAATGTAGAATATGATATTTTTTAGTGATAAGATTTGCGTCGTGGTCCTCTTTATCTGAGCTAAAGTTGAAGAATTATATTGAAATTAGTTACATCTTAAAGAGTACTCTGAAATTAGCTGAAGCAAAAAGATTACCCACATATTTGTTGAAGCTAAATGATTATTCTGAAATTGGTTGAAGCTAAAGGGCTATTATAAAATGAACTGACCTCCTCCTGAGCATACTTGGCACTAATGTGTAAGAGAGATCGTTCACCATCCTTACAGCGCACCTTGTCTCTCACACCTGTGTTCTCGACCAGCCACTGCACCAGCCTTAGCCGCCCATACTGTGCCAGGGGGGAAATAAAATGGTGAAGTAATGGTAACAAAACCTCGAGTGTTCATTAAGTCCAAATAATGTTATAGCAAGAAAGAGCACCACAGAGGATTATTAATCAAGGATAACTTTAAAAAAAAAAAGCCATGCAGTGTGCTTTATTCCTGATGATGTCCTTCGTAGGACCATCCTCACAGATGACCCATAATGGTCGACTAACTGTCAGGTATCTATTTACTACCAGGAAATGGGCAGTATATGTTTCAGGAGACTTTCCCATACATCTTGTGGAAAATTGCATTTATCTGAATGTAACTCATTATGTACATAACAGTAAATGATAACAAAGATAATTATTATTTATCAGAGTTACATAGACAAGTAGGAATTTGGGACACCTAGGTCGCAAAAATGTCCCCCTTCGATACCTACAACTGTCATATCCACAAGTTGCTCTAGACCTATTAATTACAAATGAAATATGTATCATCAGGAATTCTGGTAAATATATAAATTTGTGGACTGTATATTAAAATTAATAAGTGATTATATATACACACATTTACTTAACAGAAGGAGAATATATCTTAATATCACTCACCAATTTGACTGGAGATTAAGGTGTATCATACTCAGAAAACCTCACTGTCTATCAATGAAAATAACACTGGCCAGAGTTACAACATAAACAGACTTATCTGAGGTTCCTGGAGCTGTCTTGTCCAGTCGCCTGATATCTCAAGTTATGCAGGAATGCACATCCAACAATTTCGGCTCCTATTTGAGAGGTGTCAGCCCAATTTTACCTCTAGAGCGTGAAAATTCTTCCCAATATTCACTAATGTTTGTTACTCAATTCAAAATATAATGGCGAGTCTCTTCTGCGCAGGCACAGGCTTCCCATTTTTTATGACATAAATTTTATTAAATACAATGTATTACACTAATTTACATAAAAAATACAATGTATTTTTTCTGGAAAATACATTATTTTCCACACTGCGGCCGGCCGGAGTTCATTGCTAAACGACTCAAATTGCTCCTTCCTTTAGGAGACGATTCCAGCCGGTTCTGGCTTAGTGGCTTAGTGGGTTTTTCTCGATTTCATTTTCCCGGTCACTTGGTCAGCGTTATTTTCCATATCACTTGTCATTTTCCCCCTCAGATTTTCATTTACAAATTTTGATTGAACACCTTTTTTAATTCCAAGGGAAATAAAAATTTATTAATTTTTGCGTAAACTTTCCTGGCCACAACACAACACTTTGAATTCTGGACAACCCCCTTGTGCATCGGGTCTGCAATATTTTTGCCCAGAGGCCACAATTTTCGTTTTTTTCAGTATCAATCAACAAAATGCCACCTAGTTGAATGTTCTGTCGTTTACTGCCTCGTCGCACCAAAAAAGTGTTCACGTAGTGTAAGAAGATATTCCTTATGCCACACATTAGCCCAATGTCAATTACTTTTTTTAAAAATTTTTTAAATTTATTCACAAACACTCCGAAATAATTGAAATTTTCTTCATCATTTTCTTCCGTTATCTCTATGACAGGGGCGTTTTCCAGTTTCCTTCCCACAATTAGGGAAAAGGTTTTAAATAATCGTATCAGGGATCATCTGTACGAGAGGGGCCCTATTATTTATCCGATTTTCCCCCTCCACTACACTGCACGGAATTTTCCAAATTAATTTTCTTACGGAAATACTTTACGGAGAACCTCTTCATGTGCCTATCAGCTTTCGTACCCCCCCCCCTGCCAGGGGGGTCTAGGAGTAATAAATTTCGGGTACACCCCTCGCGGGTTAACAGAGTTTGAAAATCGTTACTATTTTTTAACTCTACCCAAATTTTGAGCACCTCCCCTACAAAATTTGTGGCATTATCCGAATCATCAATCCGGCGGATCTCCTAGCTGCAATTTTCGAAACATCTTTTTATAAAACTGTCTGGGGACAGTCCTGTGCCACTTCTAAATGAATGCCCTAGTAGCGTACAGGTGAACAAACTTTTACACTTTCAGTGGAACACCTTGAAGTCCCTTTTTAAATTATTGGACCCTATATTTAACCCCTGTTAACAAATGGTTTCACTAATTGTATACACCCCTTTTGGCAAGGGTGGGGGCCCTGGGTAAATTAGGATCTGGACCCACACATTGACATTTTTTTCACAAGTTTTAAAACACCTTTTTTCACTTTGTGTCCTTGTGGAATCAGAAAGTTTCATAATAAAATTTTAAAGGTATCTTGTACCCCCCCCCAGCATTACATTTTTTATGGCATTAAAAACCAATTAAATTTTTTAGATGAGGGTTTTTGGGCAGTAAGATGGGTTTTAGCATAATCCCCCAAATTCAGCTTTTTGTAACCTACCTCTGCACCAATTCATTGTTCTCTAAATACACCCCCAATTTCTCTTTTATGGAACCTTTCGAAATTTTTATTTTCCATCACAATTTAATCCTTTCCCCCTAGATTTCTTCTTGTCCCCTTTTTACCAATATTAAGGGTTGAAAACTTTATGAGATTTTCACTTTTTAGAAATTTAAACCCCAACTTAGTTACATTAATTATTTGGTAAAGAGGAATCCCTTGTTTAATCAATGGCTAATGAAGGACAAACTATTGGAGCGGTGGTCACAGTAATTTTAAAAGGGGCAATAACGCCTTTTGTAAGGCCAATTAGCTTTTTTACCAACCAGCTCGGTCCTTTAAAACTGATACGCTTTTCAAAATTTTGCATAGGAAAACCCCGGGGCAAGAAAACAGTGGATTTCCCCACCCGGTAATTTTATTAAATGTACTATGCTGCCCCAAAATTTTTTACTTCTTTGTCTGTTAATTTTTAGCGACCTGTTTTGTGACACAATTTTTTTTTTCTGTTTCCATTACGAATCCTTGTAAGGATACTCATTTCAGACCAAATTTCAGTGTCGCTAATATTTTTTCCTCAATTTTTCTTATATAATTAGCTAATTTGAACCTTCATAAATGGCGTTAATTCCAAAATGAGGAAGGTAATGATTTAATTGGAGACACTTTACCTTAGACAAACAAGAGAAAAAACACTATTACATTGAAGGAAAAACAACTGCCCATTGCCAATTTTGAAGCATCACAAAAAAAGTGGGGTAATTTTTTCCCCTTTGGATTGGCCACCCGGCATGGGAACTCCAACATGGAATTTTTTTTTATAATCACCAATTAATTCATCCACCCCGTTAAAGAATTCCCAGGTAAGTTTCATCCAAGCCATTTAATTTTCCCTGCTTTCCCGTATTAATAATTTCCCTCTTATAGTAAGGGGTGACACTAAACCTAGGGATCAAAACTTTTGGGAAAATTCAGCAAAACAAAAATCTATTATTAATTTATTTGGGCATCTGTAATTATTAGGTTTTAACATTTAAAAAATCTCTCTAGTTTCAAGTTTTCCCAATACATTATAATTTTTTGGCCCCTTTTTCCCCAGGGTAACTTTTCTTTTTTTGTCCTTTAATTTGGACGAATTACTATTCCATTCCCTAAGGGATATTTGCACTTGCATTATTTTATTGCCTCTCCCTAAGTCTTAAAAGTTCCTCTTCAGTTTGGGGCCCCCCAGAAATTTTCCACATAAAATTTTTTGCTCTTCTTTCTCAATGGCTTTCCCTTGTTTTTAAGGTGTCATTTTTATCGTCGCTTGAAGTGGAAGGCTGGATGTACACCAAATAATAGCTCCTAAAGCGAAAGGTTTTCAGGGGCTAAGTGGGCACTGGATTCCAGGCCATAAGAAAACGGGTACAATCCCCCTCACCTCTTGTAAACCCACCTTTGGAAAGCTTTACTTAGTCAGCCATAAAAAATAATTCTTTACCCCGAAATTAATAAAATATCTCCTAATTTTTCCGTCAAAGACGGGCCTGTCTCAAACAGTTTATTTAAACTGGTAAATTTTTTTTACCCTGGCATACAATTAAACAAATCCTCGAGGGGTGGCTTGAACCTTCTTTACTCCGTGAGTGGGAAATAGTGACCCTAAATTTTGGCTTGCTCAGGGGGTACCCCTTCTTAAAAATTTTTTAAAATTGCTCACAATTATTCATTATAGGCAGTTAAAAAATTCTGGTTCTTATCAGTTCGCGGGGCTCAGCCTTTAATTGTCCATATGCCATTCTGTAATTTGTGGGCAATCTGGATGGTTCAGTCTCCAACGGAAGTCGTACCAGTATTGTCAGATTCAAATTTTACATCTCTCAGGCATTGTTCCTGAATAAAAAGAATCGTCTGGACTTTCTTCATTTACATTTATTCCAATGCTGTCTAATTCCCACAATTTATGCACTGGCTCAAAACCATCCTCTATGGAAGAATTATAATGGGGCACGATTTCATGAGTAAGACACCAGTTATGGTTTTTGTAGTTTCCTCTAGTCATGAATTATTATTACGAGGATCCTACCATACATTACATGGCCTCTGCAGTCTTCTAAAGGGTGACACACATTTCTTTACCATACCCTTTACAAAGGAGGCATAATAGTCACTACCTATCAAAATATTTATTGGGCCTACAGAATCATCATTACCAAGAAGGTGCTAAATTTACATTATGTGAGAGTCTTTCTGTAGCTTTACTAAGCCATACTGTAGATATTTTCTCTGGAAGTTTATCTACAATTACTGCATTAACACGTTTTTTCTCATTGCCAACCTGACGTTACATAAACATTTGTCATACAATTGACCTTTTATCCGGAGAAAACCAGATAATTTAAAGTTGTGGGATCTCTCATCTGTACTTCATACCATCAAGACATTTACGTTTTATGAAAGTACGTTGGGACCCTGGTCCAATAATGCATTTACATTTTTTGATTTATGCCTTTTATCATCAAATTTTACCTGTAACACAGGTAAGGCTACTTCAGCAAAAACCATCATTATTAACATTTGCAGCAATTTTTACATTAGTCACTGTTGTGTCAGGATTGTCAACATTATCATATTATCAACATTATCATATAGACCTTTACACATGACTATATAGGTGTCTTCCTTTGTGACATTGATAACAGTTGTTTAATTTGGCATGACAATCACTTACATTGTGATTACCTAACACCTGATACATCTGTCAAGTTCCTCCAGTCTTTCAACTTTATCATTCCATGATTTGTATGCATTGCAATTCTTAGAAAAATGAGTACCCTTGCAGAAAAGACAATCTCTTTTTTCTTTGACTGGTTTCTTATTAACTGGGCTACTCTTAGGAGGGTACTTATTCTTCTTACCTTGTGGAGAATCATTATTCCTGATTCCTGCTACTTGATATGTACCTATGCAACTATTTTTAGGAAATGAATTTTGATTATTACCATTGGGATCATTTTTCCCTTTGTGAAACTTGACAGATACCTCAGAGTTATTATGTGTTGCATCTTTAAAATGAGTTAGTTGGCTGGTCTGCAACTGCACAATTAATTCTTGTAGACCTAGTCTTATTTCCACCAGACCAAAATAACCTTTGTGATATTTGTTCGAGATCCATTCAAGTGTTTTACAGCTTAATTTATTCTGTACCATGCCACTCAATAACCAGTCTGATTCCTTCAGATTATATTTATTACTTAAAGTTTTGAGAGTGCTCTCCAGTTTAACTCTAAACTGCTGTAAACCTTTGTAAGTGTGATCTGGAGATTTTAAATTAACAATGATATTCACTAGATCCAACCTACTTTGTTCTATATTACCATAAGTGACCTTCAACAAGTCAACTGCTTCCTTGTAAGAGTCATCTACATTGGGAAAGGCTTGTATGAGTATGTGAACATCTCCTCTTACCTGTCCTTTGAGGTAAAATAATTTAGTTACACAGGCTAGGTCACTCCTGTCATGCACAGCTGCTTTAAAAATTGACCAAAATTCCTCCCAATTTTCTCCAGGATTAAATACAGGTAAACATAATTCTGGGAGTTTTGGCAAAGACATATTATTTGTTGGAACAGCCTGATTACCTGCATGGTTTACACATTTTAATTTATTCAAAGCCTGATTTTTTTCAAGAATCTTTTCTTCTAATTCATAATACTGATTAATCATGAGATCTACTTCAGTCTCATCTACACAGTTTACTAACAAATCTCCTTCATATTTGTTGTAATATAATTTATATGAATCATATCTGTTCCCTAAAGCATCTAAATACAATTTTAAATCATCAATATTCACAGTTTCTTGATTCATTAATTCCAAGCACTTATTATATGCCTTGGTTACATGACCTTTTCTAGCCTGCAAGATGCTGTCTTTGCTCTATATTCCATATGTTTGTCTTCTATATTAATTTCCTCATTTTCAGCCATGATGCAATGTATTAAACTTAATTAATAACACTGATTACAACTTACAACACTGATATAACTTACCTTTGAATAAATCCTAGCTACTTCAGCTTAGCAATTACATGTAAGAAAATTATAATATAAATTTTAAATGTACATTAATACAAACAAACCTTTAACCAGACTTGGCTTATCAAAATTAATATTATACAAATTAATATAAATCCTTGCCAGAATTTGGCATAGCAAAATTAATATTATACACATTAATATAATCAGCTACACTTGGCTTATCAATTACACATACACTGATATAAATCTTGGCCAGAATTGTCTTATCAAATTAATATTATACAAATTAATATAAATCCTTGCCAGAATTTGGCATAGCAAAATTAATGTTATACACATTAATATAATCTTTAGTCATACTTGACTTGGTTTATCCAAATTAATATTGTAATAATTATAATCCACTACACATTAAGTAAATTTGTGAACTTAACATCCACCTCCTTCTGTCATTTCACATATAATTATTAAGTAATTAACTAATTAATGACTTCACTAATTACCTCCAGTTCAAGAAGGACCAACGGGCAAATTAAATGTGGAAAATTGCATTTATCTGAATGTAACTCATTATGTACATAACAGTAAATGATAAAGATAATTATTATTTATCAGAGTTACATAGACAAGTAGGAATTTGGGACACCTAGGTCACAAAAATGTCCCCCTTCGATACCTACCACTGTCATATCCACAAGTTGCTCTAGACCTATTAATTACAAATGAAATATGTATCATCATGAATTCTGGTAAATATATAAATTTGTGGACTGTATATTAAAATTAATAAGTGATTATATATACACACATTTACATAACAGAAGGAGAATATATCTTAATATCACTCACCAATTTGACTGGAGATTAAGGTGTATCATACTCAGAATACCTCACTATCTATGAAAACACTGGCCAGAGTTACAACATAAACAGGCTTATCTGAGGTTCCTGGAGCTGTCTTGTCCAGTCGCCTGATATCTCAAGTTATGCAGGAATGCACATCCAACAATTTCGGCTCCTATTTGAGAGGTGTCAGCCCAATTTTACCTCTAGAGCACGAAAATTCTTCCCAATATTCACTAACGTTTGTTACTCAATTCAAAAAACAATTGCGAGTCTCTTCTTCGCAGACGCAGGCTTCCCATTTTTTATGACAAATTTTATTAAATACAATGTATTACACTAATTTATATAAAAAATACACTGTATTTTTTCTGGAAAATACATTATTTTCCACACATCTCTAACCACCCAGGATTTCACTACAAATATTAGATGCAGCCAATCTGTATATGCCATAAAAATTAGTATTAACCTGCCATACAAATGCGTGACTGATTACTAACACACACTATCATTTTTTTATTAGCAAACTCCTAGACAATTATGCTTCAAACGCTTTGCTATTGGCTGACTGCTAGACATAGTTAAGTTGATTATGGCACTATTATAAGGCTGTTATATCCTGCAATAATTATTTTTATTTTTATTTTGCTTTTCATTTTATCATATACATACTCAACATGAATATAAGTTGACCTTTAAGTTTCTCCATTTAATGGATCTGTAGCTGAAATTATTTTGAAAGAAATATACACAAATGCAATAAGTTTTTCTTTTGAATGTTGAAATGATAAAGATTCATACACACCTTGATGGCACACACGAGTGGAGTGAGTCCAAACTTGTTTTCATCATGTAAAGCATCGACTAGCACTTGCTGCGAGGTTAACAGCCAGGCTAACGGTGCCAAGTGGCCAAAGACAGCCATAACATGAAGGAGGTTATTACCGCTATGATCACTGAGGTTACGGATGAGTGTGCCCTCCATGTCAGCAACACTACGTTTCTGAAATGGAGTCATTACATTAAAAATCTCTCTAAAAGAGATCATTTCCTAAAACTTCAGAGTTGTTTATGGTTAGCATTTGTTGCTAACCATAAACAACTGCAAATAACATACACAGAACAAGTAATAACAATAAAGGCCATAATATACACACGCACACACCCACAAACACAAAACCTGTACTGCAATTTACTAAACAAATGAGGTGAAAAAGAAGATTTTATACAAATTATTAACCTGGAGGGTTAATGATCCTGGAAGGTTAATAACCCAGGATATTCATTATTATTATTATAATCAAGGGGGAAGCGCTAAACCCGGAGGATTATACAGCGCCTGGGGGAGGATGTGGAAGGCATTCAGGCTTAATTCGGGGAACTGGAGTACAGATCCAATTCCCTAAATCAAGAGCCCCTTACCAACATCAAGGAACCTTCCTTGAGGGGCCAGGATATTCAAAGAAAGCCAAGCAGTGTAGTTTATTTCTATTGGTGTCCTTAGGTCCTTCCCAGGATATGCATTTGCTTCTGGGTGAACAAGGGCAGCAGTTTTATGGCACTTGCTCCCCTCAAGGAAGGTTCCTTGATGTTGGTGAGGGGCTCTTGATTTAGGGAATTGGATCTGTGCTCCAGTTCCCCGAATTAAGCCTGAATGCCTTCCACATCCCCCCCCCCAGGCGCTGTATAATCCTCCGGGTTTAGCGCTTCCCCTTGATTATAATAATAATATGGCACTTGCTAATACATGTCTCCATGCCCAGTATTAAATCTGGATCCTCTTGGTTGTGAGCCAAACACCCTACTACTGAGCTACAGGAAAAGAATCATAAACAAGAGATTAATTTGCTGACTACATATCTGTCCAATTTGCAAACCAACTCTAAAATCTTAGTCACATCTGGAGTAATATAGAGAACTTGATACACCACCACATAAAATTTCAGTTTTAACTACACAGACCTGATCACTAAAATAAACATATAAAAATCACATAATAACTAAAATATTTTAATACTGTATTTATTTATTATTATTATTATTATTATTATTATTATTATTATTATTATTATTATTATTATAATGGAGGAGCACTAAACCCTTAGGGATTATACAGCATCTGTGGGGGGGGGGAAAGCATTGACTTAATTCAGGGAATTGGAGCATATATCTAAGAGCCCTTGACCAGCATCAAGGAACCTCCCTTGAGGGGAGGAATATTGTATTTACCTCATACAACCAGACAACCCCCCAACTTGCTAGCTTCGGATCAACAATAAACGCTCTTGCTTTCTAATATTGTATCTTCAATTAGCAAACCACCAGAATTAATAAAAAAAATTGTGTTGACTCTAGCTATGGTATATGGACTAAAATAACAGCCTCAAAAAAAAAAAAAACAGGCATAATCACTGAAATCTCAGCCTTTCTAATCATAATAAATCACCAAAATAATTCTTGAAACCCAACCAAGATAATGAGTCACCAAAAGTTAAACCCAAAAGGACCATACACCTTTGCGGGGCAGAGGAGAGGAAGAGATGGATATGATAATAACACTACTGTGTGATACCGACACTTTGCTGGAAATAAATACAAAATGCAAACACAGGGATATTTTATTGTAAAAGTTACAGTCGCTGGATTTGGTCACTCCAAATGTGGGGTGACCAAGAACCCAGGAAAGAAACATTTCCAATAAGTAATAATATGTAATATAACTCTACTTGTTTCAAAAATGAATATGGTGAATATATAATTGTTAACTTCACAACGAAAACAAAGACCGCCATTACAGTTGGTGCAATATTCAGGATACCACATACTAATATACAGGATACCACATACTAATATACAGGATACCACATACTAATATACAGGATACCACATACTAATATACAGGATACCACATACTAATATACAGGATACCACATACTAATATACAGGATACCACATACTAATATACAGGATACCACATACTAATATACAGGATACCACATACTAATATACAGGATACCACATACTAATATACAGGATACCACATACTAATATACAGGATACCACATACTAATATACAGGATACCACATACTAATATACAGGATACCACATACTAATATACAGGATACCAATACTAATATACAGGATACCACATACTAATATACAGGATACCACATACTAATATACAGGATACCACATACTAATATACAGGATACCACATACTAATATACAGGATACCACATACTAATATACAGGATACCACATACTAATATACAGGATACCACATACTAATATACAGGATACCACATACTAATATACAGGATACCACATACTAATATACAGGATACCACATACTAATATCACAAACTTTAGTGACAACTTAAAAAGCTAATAATAAACAAGCAACTAAACAAAGATTACCTTTTACTTGATGGTGACTTCAACAATAAAAGTCATTAGATTCGTAACGCAAGAATGTCTCTTTGTTAAACGGTGTTGAGATTTATTGTTCAAATTATATCTTTCAATGTGTCTTTGAATTACACATCATCAAATTCTGATTTCACGAGTTCTCCCGCAACTGAGGTTAAGCTGGTTGATCAGTAATTTAAAGCTAAGGACTTGCCTTCCGCTTTGTAAATTGATTTTCATATTTGCCAATCTCCCTTTATCCAGCAAATTACGAGTTTGAAGTGATCTGTTGAAGGGACTCGATATAATACAAAGGACAATGAGATATTAAACTTGACATTTTTAGACTGATAAAAGTAGTGTTACTCACCAGGGATGGTAAATCACCTTTCTTGGCAATATCGAAGATTCTCTTAATCCAGTCAGGTGTTCTACCCCGCTCCCTTCCTCGGTGTTCAGGTCGAGGCTTCTTACTAGCTTCTTCTTCTTCTCTTCTTCCCTCCTGATTTATCCCAGAAGCAACTTGAGACTCCTCTATGGTGGTCTTTTCCCGAGGCTGAGTGCGCTCCCTCCTGCGAGGATGCGCAATGCTATGGACCCGTCCCCCATGGCCTCGCAGACTGGGCTCCGGGCCTTGGGATGTGACAGCATCGTAGATCTTTTCACTGTACTGTTGAAAGTCAGCTGAGAGGACAGGTGGACCTGGTGGGCGTGTGGGCGTGTCATCACCATGGTCTGTGGCACTTCCGCCTGCGGATGTGGCACTGGTGGGTAGACGAGAGGAGGCACGGGATCCAGAGTGTGGCCGGGAGGGGCGCTGTGGCTGGGGTTCCTGAGCTAGCCGTCGCACCTCCGGTCCATGAGCCAATTCACTCAATGTTTCTATGATTGACACAGTTTTTAAGAATCCTGGCTGATGCACACTCCGTCTCGCACCACCCCCATTAGTTCCCTTAGAGGCACTGCCTTGCCCGACGCCACTACCACTGGGGCCACTTACTGTCATGCCCCGTCCAACACTGGTCCCCGGGGCACACGATGGGGGAAGACCCAGCCCTCCACAATTTTTGCTGGCATTCCCACCCCTTCCCACACTCCGTCCACCATTGCTGCCATTTCCTGCACTCAGCCCAAGGTTCCTGCCACTGGCCACACCCACTCCACGCCCTCCTGCACCACTTACTCCACCCACAAGTACACTCTCCAAGTCACCCATACCCAGTAGCCGTCGCTCGCGGGACCTGCTACGGCTCTTGCACCCCTGGGAACAAAGAAGCATGTCAATATTTAATGAAAACACTGTCAGATTAACTATTTTATTAAGAAACTGAACACAATAATATCATACAAAATCAAGCGCTACAGTCGACCTACTAGCCTAGATTATGTGAATCCAGTATAATACCCATAAACCTTATTCCAGTGGAACAAGACTGACAGTGTATGTATACTGAACGTAAAACGTCCATTCGTTATAAGAGTATGTATCTATCCATACAAAGTCTCATATATATCACAAGTTGTCTGATAACTGGTTAATACAGGGTGGTAAGTTTTCTAGTATAACGAAGTGGCATCCTTAATGCAGAATCAACTACGACACTGGAAGGTACAGTAAAGACAGATTCAATGTATACCATAATACATTGTACAGTTTTGTGATAATACCGGTGTATGCATACTTCATACAGAGGAATGGATAAGTATCATGTATAACTGTTGAGAATAAAAAGCTCTTTATCTCTGTACAGTGTGCTTGAATAAGTGTGTTCCTGGATGAGTTGTTGATGTGAAGATCGCCTAGGACCAAGTTATGTTATAAGAATAATAGTTATTAGTCATAACTAAGCGCTAAACCCATAAGGGTCATACAGCTAGGGATGGAAGTGGTGGTTTATTCGTCAGGAAACAGCACAATGTTTCCTGACGCTGGTTAAGCATCTGCTGGCTTACGGGAGCTGCCTCGTACACCACATCAAAAAAATTCCAAGATTCACTTTACAGCAGCGTATCTTATGATAAGATATTAATACCTAAGGGTATCCTAAAACAATGCTAAAGTACTTTAATATTTTCTAGTGTCAGACTTATTCCAATGATCACACCAATAATGTTTCCTGTGTTAAATATATGTTAGTGTTAAATATATACTCAAATAATAATGCAATAAGCTCTACTTGAGATTTTATCAGTCTGACTTCATGACAGACTTGTAGAATAATAATAATAATAATAATAATAATAATAATAATAATAATAGTAATAATAATATCTTTATTTCTACAAGTACATATACAAGGTATACAGTTCTAGCTGACATCAATAACATACTACTATATAGAAAGCAGGTTGTTATGCTGAGCATTTCAGGCAAATTTGGTCAATTTTGACCCAGGATGCGACCCACATCAGTCTACTAACACTCAGGTACCCATTTTACTGATGGGTGAACAGGGACAACAGGTGTAAGGAAATACTACCAATATTTCCACCGTTGCCTGGAAACTAACCCGAACCCCTCAGCATGTGAAACGAGAGCTTCACCTACCAGGCCACGAGCCACCCACAGAAGGGGACGTAGCTCTTATACTCTAAAATATGTCCCAAAGAATTGGTGCTTAGACCAGCACAGTAACCTGAAATGGTTCTAAAATTACTTGTAAAACCCGAAGACCTAAAGAACTTTGTGTACAAGATTAAGTAACGAGTCATTTTAACTCTGAGATGTATAAGCGTCTAGGTTAGGTTAGGTTAGGTTAGGTTAGGTTAGGTTAGGTTAGGTTAAGTTAGGTTAGTTTAGCTTAGGTTAGGTCAGGTTAGGTTAGGTTAGGTTAGGTTAGGTTAGGTTAGGTTAAGTTAGGTTAGTTTAGCTTAGGTTAGGTCAGGTTAGGTTAGGTTAGGTTAGGTTAGGTTAGGTTAGGTTAGGTCAGGTTAGTTTAGGTTAGGTTAGGTTAAGTTAGGTTAGGTTAGTTAGGTTAGGTTAGGTCAGTGTTAGGTCAGGTTAGGTTAGATTAGGTTAGGTTAGGTTAGGTTTAGGTTAGTTAGGTATAGGTTAGGTCAGGTATAGGTTAGGTTAAGTTAGGTTAGTTTAGGTTAGGTTAGGTCAGGTTAGGTTTAGGTTAGGTTAGGTTAGCTTAAGTTAAGTTAGGTTAGGTTAGGTTAGGTCAGGTCAGGTTAGGTTAGGTAGGTTAGGTTAGGTTAGGTTAGTTAGTTAAGTTAGGTTAGGTTAGGTTAGGTTAGTTTAGGTTAGGTTAGGTTAGTTTAGGTTAGGTTAGGTTAGGTTAGGTTAGGTTAGGTTAGGCTAGGTTAGGTTAGGTTAGGTTAGGTTAGGTTAGGTTAGGTTAGTTTAGGTTAGGTTAGGTTAGGTTAGTTAGGTTAGTTAGGTTAGGCTAGGTTAGTTTAGGTTAGGTTAGGTAGGTTAGGTTAGGTATTAGGTAGGTTTAGTTAGGTTAGGCTAGGTTAGGTTAGGTTAGGTTAGGTTAGGTTAGGTATAGTTAGGCTAGTTAATTTAGGTTAGGTTAGGCTAGGTTAGGTTAGGTTAGGTTAGGCTAGGTTAGGTTAGGTTAGGTTAGGTTAGGTTAGGCTAGGTTAGGTTAGGTTAGGTTAGGTTAGGTTAGGTTAGGTTAGGTTAGGCTAGGTTAGGTTAGGTTAGGTTAGGTTAGTAGGTTGGCTAGGTTAGGTTAGGTTAGGTTAGGTTAGGTTAGGCTAGGTTAGTTAGGTTAGGTTAGGTTAGGTTAGGTTAGGTTAGGTTAGGCTAGGTTAGGTTAGGTTAGGTTAGGTTAGGTTAGGTTCGTCATGAAACAGGACAAGTGTTTCCTAGTACGAGTCTTATGATGATCCGTAGCTGAAGCTTTTGGTCATCTGACCGAGGCCTTTCCCTGGCTTACGGTCCGCCCCTTTAAAAATTATGATTATGATTATATACATATAAGCGTCTTCGACAGTTGTTATATAATAACCTCCAAGAAATATATTAATGAAGAAAGTTATAAAAAAGTTATTTCAATAAAATAAATAAGAATTTAGTGCATCCAAGTTATTATATTATATTTGACAATAAAGAAAAATAATCCGTCTTAAATTTCAGGGAAAAAAAGTTAAATTGATACTTTAGTAAGTTTTGAATACAGAAATATAATTATTTAGTGTTTGTGATGAAATATGAATTATGAATATACTTAACCCAAGTATTAATAGTGACTACACAGTATAAATTTCCTATAATTAATGTAGAGTACTAGAAATAAATGTAATTAATAACAAATGATACATTTATTAAACATTAATATTACTATAAATTCATGTATATTCATTGCAGCTCAAATTTAATTCTCTGAAAATATACATGGATTAATAATGATTGTATATTAGTGTGTAATTAGTCTTGACTGACTACTGTAATACTTTATATAAATATAAATGATTTATACTTTCAATAAATAACTCAATGTAACAGCTTGTATATATTCTGATGCGTCTCTGTGCCTTGTCTCTCTTCTGTCATGCCGCCACTTTCTACCTTTATGCCTTGTCTATCGTTTCCCCTCATCTATACCTTACCATTTTTTTGTCTTTGTAATTTACCCTTAAATATTGTCATTTTTCTCCTTTGTGTCTTTTTCCTCCACTCTACCATTTTTCTGCATATATCTTTGTACTTGTCTGCCTCTCCCACTTTCCGTTCCTTTATGTTGCTACTCTTCTGTCTCATCTTTCTCTATACTTCACTACATCTTCCCACTTTTTTATTCATCTCTCTCCCTTCCCCTTTCTTTATCTTAACACACCTCTTCCTTGTCCCTCTCTCCCTATACCTCGCCACTCTTCGTCCTTCTCTCTTTCTTCCATTCCCCTACACCACGTCGCTGTCCTGCTCTCCACGTCACTGTCCTGCTCTCCACGTCACTGTCCTGCTCTCCACGTCACTGTCCTGCTCTCCACGTCACTGTCCTGCTCTCCACGTCACTGTCCTGCTCTCCACGTCACTGTCCTGCCCTCCACGTCAGTCGTGCCCTTCACGTCACTGTCCTGCCCTCCATGTCACTGTCCTGCCCTCCACGTCACTGTCCTGCTCTCCACGTCGCTGTCCTGCCCTCCACGTCACTCTCCTGCTCTCCGCGTCACTGTCCTGCCCTCCACGTCAGTTGTGCCCTCCACGTCACTATCCTGCCCTCCACGTCACTGTCCTGCCCTCCACGTCACTCTCCTGCTCTCCACGTCACTGTCCTGCCCTCCACGTCACTGTCCTGCCCTCCACGTCACTGTCCTGCTCTCCACGTCACTGTCCTGCCCTCCACGTCACTGTACTGCCCTCCATGTGACTCTTACTGACCTTGTTGCTGTGGAGGCGACAGGTGCAGGAGCAGTTCTGGCGGTCATGGTGATGGGTCGGTGCTGCCGCTGCTGCTGCTGGAGCCAGTACCACCAATGTGTCTGCTGGTCTGCTGCTCGGCTGGTCGGGGCGTCTCGCTCTCCGAACTGCAGGAGGGGACCGGTACACCGGCCGCCGGTAAATCTCCGTGTTGATGCTCGGTACTCCTACCAGTATAGCCGTCGCTGCTGGAGTCGCGTCCACGGGCAGAGAGTAGGTGTCTGTAAGGACAAGAAGATTGTTACCTCTTGTGACTAGGTACATTTTTTACCGTCTGCTGTCAACTAGGCTGCGTTAGAATTTCGAGTTGGTAAACTGATGAAAAAAAAAAGTGGCCTAGTTATACAATCACTTGGATTGTGCTGGTCTAACTTCTTTCAAGCAAATAAAATAATAATAATAAAAATAATAATAATAATAATAATAATAATAATAATAATAATAATAATAATAATAATAATAATAATGGTTATTGCCTCGTGAGGAAGTACATAAATACACGTTGCATACTTGTCATTAGTTTATCATAATTATTTGGTTATTTAGAGTGCTACCATATGAATATTATGCTTTTAAAAGTACGTAAGAGCTAACTAGTTATATGTATCTAAGAGCCAAGCAATTTTTATATATCAGTTTATATACCAATTTATATGCTAATTTGTCACTATATGCGAGTTTATATACCAGTTTATGTAGAACAAGAGACATGAGTAGTCAGACATCAGTAGTCAGCCCAAAACCGCCCAAAATCCCACTTTCGTGGGATTTTGGGCGGTTTTGGGCTGACTACTGCGTTTCTTTAATATTCTGTAACTTGCTTTCCGTAAACCTCTAAGGTTCTCCACTTCCCCTTACCCCGGAAGGGTGTGAAGGGGAGGGGGAGGTAGGTGTAGGGCCCGTGACACTCTGTGTCACTCTGTGTCACGGGCCGCCGTTGATACCTTCTGCCTCCAAGAATTTCACCTCCTGTCTGTTGATGTCTTGCAACATTGCATAGCTCCTGACGACGCACGAGAGTGCGAAAGATCCAGAGCTAAAGATTTCCATCCCCATTTGGCTTGTTCTGCAAACAGGTGATTGTACTGCAATACAATCGCATGTTTGCAATTGTATTGCAATACCAGTTTATATATCAGTTTGGCTTATAGTTACTTTAGAGACTCTCAGAAAGTAACTTTCTATTTTAAGTTTCTATAACAAAAACACTCTTTATAGCTCGGTGAAATCAGTTATTTTCTGTGCAGATTTTTTAGGGGAAATGGGTAAGTTAACAACAAACTATTTTTATTTTACGAAAGGTAGAATGTTTTTGGTAAATTACAGGAAAGGCGCCAAAGGAAGAGGGGCTCGGGGGCTGAACTCCCCTCCAAAAAAAAAAAATTCCCAGCCCCCAAATAAAAATAGTAGTAATAATAACGCTGCTTCAAAACAAATTACCAGTCCCTCCTTCCACTTAAATAACCTCAGCATAGAAATTCTGGAGCCGTAACTTGTAAAACATGCCGTTGGGGATATAATATTGAAAAAAAAAACGATTAACCAATAAGAAGACGGCCACAGGTGGGGGAGGAGAGGTTATATTACGCCCTAGGCCTCTCACTCTACATCAGTGCTTCATCAGGGGCTTTCAAATAAGGAACATGAGAAAAATCGAGGTTACAAAAAATATTCATAAATTCTCCATTGGTCAGTATAGCAATTCAACTTGGAATGATATATTCATGAATCTTTTCACGTCGATTCACCCCTTTTCCCCGTACCCTTCCATTAAGCCCCTGATAAATTCAGCAATAATGTAGCATGAAAGGCCAAGGCTGTCATATAACCCCTCCTCCTCTCTTGTGGTATTTTGTTTATACGGTTGAAGAAACAGTCAGGTGATCAACGGTTACTACTGGGTCACGTGACTCGCCGCGTCTGTTTAGTAACAGTCAGGTGATCAACGGTTACTACTGGGTCACGTGACTCGCCGCGTCTGTTTAGTAACAGTCAGGTGATCAACGCTTACTTCCTACTGTCACGATCACGTGACTCGCACGCGTACTGTTTAGTACAGTCAGGTGATCAACGGTTACTACCTGTCACTACTCCCGCTCCTGTTTAGTAAACGTATCAATAATATCACTACCAGAGCAATGAATGTATGACGTCACTTGTCCTCTTATACGTAACTGACCTTTTATGACATAACTGACCTCTTACGACATAACTGACCTCTTACGACATAACTGACCTCTTACGACATAACTGACCTCTTACGACATAACTGACCTCTTACGACATAACTGACCTCTTACGACATAACTGACCTCTTACGACATAACTGACCTCTTACGACATAACTGACCTCTTACGACATAACTGACCTCTTACGACATAACTGACCTCTTACGACATAACTGACCTCTTACGACATAACTGACCTCTTACGACATACCTCACAACTACACTGACAGTGTGAGTGTAAACGTTAGGTTAATTACTTATCGGGTTGAGTTAGAATAAATTACGCTGCATTACGTTATATTACATTACGTAATGCTTCATAACTGACCATTTCTTATGTTGACTCTCGTATCGTCTGGACCTTGAAAGATGTCGTTTCTTTAAATCCCTCCTCCGCCCCATATCTCAATAAGTTATGCGTTGTTGTCACAGGTACCTCGCATGTGTTCAGGAGCCAACCCTACCTAGTCTCTCTCTCTCTCTCTCTCTCTCTCTCTCTCTCTCTCTCTCTCTCTCTCTCTCTCTCTCTTCTCTCTCTCTCTCTTTATTACCTTCCTTTCTCCAACCTAATTTTTCCTCATTCACCACTTTCTTTCTCGCTAGCTCACTTAGCTCACACACTCAGGTCCGGGGATCGAATCCCCCAGTACGGCTGAAAAACATTAGGACGTGTTTCCATAAGATCCCTGCTGTTCCTGTTCACCTAGCAGTATAATGGGTACCTGGGTGTTAGACGACTGACCTAATTTGCCCGAAATGCTCAACATAACAAGCGGCTTTCTATATAGTAGTGTGTCATTGATGTCAGCTATGGTCTGTGTACCTTGTACATGTACTTGAAGAAATAGATATTATTATTATTATTATTATTATTATTATTATTATTATTATTATTATTATTATTATTATTATTATTATTATTATTATAAGCTCTGATCAGATCAGATCTTGTGTCGCAATACATACACAAAAAAAATTATGGTCTCCACAAATTATAACTCCATCTCCTAAACTAAGCCATGTTGGGCAGTCTTAATTTTAATGTTTCAACAAAATCGATGGTACCATTAATTTATACACCAGTTTTTAAACCATTCTATGTACTGTTGTATTTACCAGTTTATGAACCACTGTATATAGAATTTTTTATACCACTGTGTATTCCAGTTTATATACCACTTTACATATATACCGCATACGTATATACCATTGTATATACCAGTTTATATGCCAACTTTTATACCACTGTACATACAAGTTAATATATCAGTTTATATAATACTGTATATAACAGTTTATATAACACTCTATACTATTTTACATGCCACTTTATATACCACTTCATTCACCACTATATACCGGACTACCACTAATTTATTAAGACACATGTGCAACAGTTGGGTGTCTTTATTTTTGAAACTTATCGCCTACACAGCAGGCTTCTTCAGTCAAATACGAAGGGATCACAAGTAATAAATATGATGTCATTCAGTCCATCAACCGGGGACAGAAAAGTGTTTGAGGTGGTCAGTCCCTGACCCTCCGGGTTATGGCTTTCTAAGTTGTCCAAGTTGGGCCGAAACGTCGTCGTAAGCTCCTCTCTTATGCAATGTATGGGAATCTTTACTGAGGAAACGTTTCGCCACACAGTGGCTTCACCAGTCCTAAACAAGGAAGAACAGTGTAAAGAGAGGAGAAGTTTAAGGTAATCAGTCTCTCAGACTGGAATAGATATGTTCAGTCCATTAATCGTGAATGGCAGTACACAGACAGGTGTAGGGACAGTACACAGACAGGTGTAGGGGCAGTACACAGACAGGTGAAGGGGCAGCACACAGACAGGTGTAGGGGCACTACACAGACAGGTGTAGGGGCAGTACAAAGACAGGTGTAGGGACAGTACACAGACAGGTGCAGGGGCTATACACAGGTGTAGGGGCAGTGCACAGAGAGGTGTAGCGGCAGTACACAGACAGGTATATGGGCACTACACACACAGGCGTAGGGGCAGTACACAGAGAGGTGAAGGGTCAGTACACAGACAGGTGTAGGGTCACTACACAGACAGGTGTAGGGGCAGTACACAGACAGGTGTAGAGACTGTGCACAGGTGAATTGGCAGTACACAGACAGGTGTAGGGGCCGCACACAGACAGGTGTACGGGCACTACACAGACAGGTGTAGGGGCAGTACACATACAGGTGTAGGGGCAGTACACAGAGAGGTGTAGGGGCACTACACAGACATGTGTAGGGGCACTACACAGACATGTGTAGGGGCACTATACAGACAGGTGCAGGGGCACTACACAGACAGGTGTAGGGGCACTACACAGACAGGTGTAGGGGCACTACAGAGACAGGTGTAGGGGCACTACACAGACAGGTGTAGAGGCTCTACACAGACAGGTGTAGGGGCTGTACACAGACAGGTGTAGGGGCAGTACTAAGACAGGTGTAGGGACAGTACACAGACAGGTGTAGGGGCACTAAACAGACAGGTAAAGGGGCACTACACAGACAGGTGTAGGGGCACTACACAGACAGGTGCAGGGGCACTACACAGACAGGCGTAGGGGCAGTACACAGACAGGTTTAGGGGTTGTACACAGGTGTAAGGGCAGTACACAGAGAGGTGTAGGGGCAGTACACAGACAGGTGTAGGGGACACACAGAAGGTGTAAGTCATTACACAGCATTAAGGGGTACACATGAAGGGGATATACAGCAGGTGTAGGGGCAGCACACAGGGCAGGAGTTGGGCAGTATACAGACAGAGTACGGGGGACTACACAACGGTGTAGGGGCAGTGCACGACAGGGTAGGGGATCTACACAAAGATGTAGGGGCACTACACAGACAGGGGTAGGGCCCTACAAGGTGTAGGGCAAACCAGACGGTTGTGGGGCGTACACAGACAGGTTTTTGACAGAACAAGACAGGTTACGGGACTACAAGCAGTATAGGGGCAGTACACAGCGGTGTAGGGGAG